ATGGTAACCAAACTTATCGTGTTATTCATTTCCTAATGTTTAAAAGTGTGGAATCACTTTGTTGTGCGCCTGAAACTAATGTAATATGGTATGTCGGATTTAATTAAAAAAATAAAGAGTGTGGGCTCTGAATCGAGTATGCCTAGGTTTGTGGGTCACTCCTCCTCTGACGGCCTGTGTGACTCTGAGCAGCTCCCCTAGCTTCTCTGTAGTCTCTGCTTTCCCACCTCATCAACTAGGATTATTTTACATTGAGCCTGCTATCACAGTTGAGGCATCTTGGGCACAGAGAGGTTAGGTCAGCTACCCCAAGTCATTCAGGTAATACGTGTTTGAGCCCCAAAGGCAAGGAATACTCAACAAGTCCAAACTGAACCCATCCACAACCCCTCCCCACATAGCTGCACCTCCTCTACTGTTGCCTAACTCAGGGCAAGGCAGCCTTCTCCCCAGCTGCTTAGGCCAGAGATCCTTAAGGCCATCCTTGCCTGCTGCCTCTCTCTCACCACCCTCTCAGTCATCAAGCCCCACCTTTCTGCCTCCTAAGTCTTTCTAAGCAAGATCCTGACACTTCTCTCCATCGGCACAGTGAGTTCCACGTCACCCTCATCTCTCTCCTTGACCACCACCAGCAACCCTGATGTTTTCCAACGCATTGTCTATCCTACTGCCTGAGGAAGCTTTCTTAAGTCCTAACCTGGGCATGACAGCCCTGCTCAAAACTCTGCAGGGGCTGCCCGCTGCTCTTAGGATAATGTCCAGCCTCCTGGACTAAGCACAGCAGGCCTTGCCTGCCCCCAAACGTCTGATCGTCACCAGACCCCCTCCTTCCGCTCCAAGCCCCACTTGATATTCCAGCGCACCCAGACCTCTTTCTGTTCATCAGATGGCTGGTGTGCTCACACTCGTCCTCCCTCGCCCCCCCTGCCCGCCCCGCTCCCGGCCCCCACCACCCACAGATTTCACAACCTCACACGTGCTGTTCCCTCCATCTTACATGCCCTTCCTCCCTCCTCATCTGTCTGATTCCTTCTTAGGTTCAGCTGTCAGGCTGGGTAGAGCAATTTCCATTTTTCCTGAGGAGTACCTGGATGAAAAGTCACAGTTACCAGATTTGATATTTTTACCGAATGGAAGGTGATGGAGATTTCATTATGAATTCCCCACACGGACACACGTTTTACTGTGGTTCACAGTGAGCTGATTTGAAATGCAATCTGATGGCTGAGTTTTTCTGGGAAAGGCTTCCTTGCTAAGAACAGGATACAGACAGAAAAGCTCTCTCGCCTTATGTTATACGGGCCCACTGTTGCCTCTGAATATGACCTTTGGAATTTGGCCACAGTTTTGGAAGCATAGAGGGATCCAGGGTGACCACCTGCTTCACAGTGAGGAGGGATAAGCTGAACAATGGGAAAAAAAATCTGTCACTTTATGGTATCTGTGACCCAGTAAATTGAACAGGCTTTGAACTGCCCTACCCATGGACTTTGTTTTGATGAGATTTTCACTATGGTTTATAGTCTGAGTTTCTGTTAGGACAGGAGAAAGTATATTAACGGGTCCTCCCCATGCAAGGCTGTGATTTACTAGTCCCCTGTGATCATCAGGGAGGCAAGGATCAGCTGCGCACTCAGTATGGGGACCCTCTTAGGGAATCTGACAGCACCTTCCTGCAACTCCTTAGGTGTCCCCACTGCTGGTTCTGCCTGCTACAGACTCAACTGTGAGGACTGACTTCATTCAGTACAACTCCTCTGAGCAGAGCACACCTAAGTATGAAATGAAGTGTGCGCCTTTGATATGTAAAGACAATTAAAAAGATGGAAATGGCACCAGTTCCACCGCCACTACCCCAACCCCCACCCCAGCCAGAGGATGGAGTAGATGCCCAGAGGCCCCCGGCATGCTTGCCTCCACACTGATGTGTCCCTAACACAGGGCGCAGTGTAAAATGGTTCACCCGGAGCCTAGTTACTGAGCTAATGGGAGCTGGGCATATGCGGTTTTATTCCCCATAGATCCAGAGAAGTATCAACCCCCGCCTTCCATAGACGAGGAAACAAGCTCAAAGAGGTTAGGTCGCTGATGCAGTAAAGGCTGGATCTGGCAGTCAAGCCCTAGTTCTGCCCGACTGCAAAGCCCGTCTTCTTTGCGGTCACGACAACCCACTTGGCTTGTGATTCAGGTGCCGAGATGCAGATGTTGTTCCGTGACAGGAAAGTCATCATTGTCCCAATACCATGTCCACCTGTGAAATGCAGGAACCCAGTACGGCAAAGCCACCCTGAAAGGTTCTAAGACGCTCTCTGTGTTTGCCTTCGCAGGAGCTGCCTTGCAGCCAAGAAACTGGAGTCCACCGGCGCAAAAGGATTGCCTCAGAGCCAACGGCCGGGCAGGACTTCAGCCTCCCCTGTGTGTGTGGGGGGGCACTCTGCCATATCAGAGAGGCTTTGCAATCAACCCTCCCCCAGTTATATCTCCACCAGTCTCACTCTATTTATCAGATGGAAGGAACTGAGAGGCAAGCAGAGGCAGAGGAAGTGTTTGTAGTGGCTGCATGACAGCTCTGGAGCTGACCCAGCTGCCATGGTGGTCTGGAGCCAACAGACTGAGAATGGAAATCTGGCTCCACCCATGTTCATGTCTCTGCTCTTCAGCTTGTGTCTGTAAACTGTGGATGATCGAAGTGCCACCTGAAGAACCTCCCCACCCCTGAGAAGTGTGTCCTGACCAAACACCCACACACCACACACCCCCGACCCCGCACACTATGGCAGGGGGTCAGAGGCTCTCTTCTGTGTTCCTAGGGTTCTATGATTTAAATCCTGCCATGGGTTTTCTCACACAACAGGGGGCAGTCATCTGCTTGCAGGTTGCAGCCCCCATCATCCCTGCATCCCCAAACTGGCCCCAGTAGCGGAGACCTAGTGTCTGGTCGGTGCTTCGAACTTGTTTCCTCAGTGAATGAAGGACCTCGACTCAAATGTACTTGGTCAATAAAGGGTAGCTCTTCTTGGACCAGTTATTTCTGCGTTAAAAATGACACAGGAGAATGGAGTAAACAGGGCATATCTCGAGTCAGATTCTCTTCCCTTTGGTGGGGGGAGGAGCATTGCATCTTTCATACGATCCCTAATTCCGGAAACTCCTAACCAAAGAGGCTGCAATGTTCATTACACACGTGTGGGTCACTCTGTTGCCCCATCAGCCACAGTTCTGGCCTCACAGTGGAACTTGGGTCAAGATCCTTAAAGCACCGGTCAGTTCACTGAATGTTTCCCAAGTACCAAGTGGCTGGTGCCCAGTGTAGGCCCCGCAACTACGTGTCCAATCGATGGACTGTTGAATGAACACAGGCTGCTAGTGGAGTCTGTGATGCTGTGCCCAGAGCACAGGTGGCCATGGAGTCAGGGACCTGAGCTCAGTTAGGAAGGGCATGTCAAGTCCAGGTGAGGCCATCAGTCTCACTCGGAGCTGCCCCTCACGCGGTCCTCCTAGTTCCTTGCTTGCTCCACCTCGACTCTCTCTGCTCTTCCCCCACGTCCTGCCTCTCACTCCTTCTAAGGCCTGGCACAGGCTTGTCATTCAGTATCTATGATCCCTCCTTGTCCTTGTCAGTCAGCTGACTGAGCAGATACCCAGCTGACCATTTTTTTTGTTTGTTTTTTTATGTATCCCCAGACATCCAGCACAGTGCCTTGACCATAGTTGGAGCTTGGTGAACGATTCAATGAATAAAGTCACTGTTTGTCACACACACACACACACACACACACACACACACACACACACACCATCAGACTTATCCGGATCAGTGCACAGTGTCTGGGCAGCCACCCTGACCTGGATTAGGACATAAGGAGCACTGGTAGTTTTGCTAGAGGGCAACTTTGAGCTTCCCTCAGGTGCCACAGCACCACTCTCAGCAGGGCTAAGAAGCTGTCTGTGTCTGTTAGGGGTAAAGACTGAGACTTCCTGCCTTCAGACACTCAGCGCCCCCTGGTTAGGGTTGATGGCGGTTCCTCAGAACGCTCATCACTAAAGTGCCGTGACGCCCTCCCAGAGCTCAGACCAGGGAGCCTTCTCCCAACAATAATGGAGTACCCTACCCTGTTACAGAAATGGGAATTATAGCTGTTTACCCCTATTAATGTGGTTCCTCCCCTTTGCATTCACGTCCACATTTCTTCCTTGAGTCACCCAATCCAACTCTGCTAATTCCCAACGGGTTACTGCACCAAGCTGCACCTGCATCTCACTTGCTGTGCATGGCTCTATCTGGGAGGGTCGGATCTACCTACTGAGCTACGCATTTTCTGTCTCCCTTCCCTTCTGAATCTGGAGGCTCCCAGGCACCAAGAAAAGTGCTCCAGTTGGCCCACAAAAGGGGCGGTGCTGCAGGGGAGGCTGCAACTCTCATCCACAGCCTGGGTCAAAGCAGGACTGCGTTACAAGCGCCACACGCTGCCCCACTGTGCCACGGGAGCCAAAAGAGCAAAGGTCTAAGAAGTCCTAATACAGACACTTATGTGGATAGAACACCAGTCTCTTCCTAGGGACCTGTGAGTTGTTGTTTGGTTTGGGCCTATATCGTCCGTGGCCTTTTTCACAACGCTTGCAGACTTAGCTAACCTTCCATCAGGACCTCTCTGCTCCCCCCACACCCCACACCCCCCACTGTACCAAAGATCATACTCCTCACTTAAGTGTGCTGACTGGGTTTTCACTTGGCAAGGATACCAAAACAATTTTTTTTCATCCTGAAACGTCAAGATACCTAAGAGAACAGGTCTTCAGAAAAACTAGTTTCAAATTATAATAGAAAAACTGGCTACATAACAATGAAGATACAGCACATTAAAAGGTTATTTGGGGGCTTCCCTGGTGGTGCAGTGGTTGAGAGTCCGCCTGCCGATGCAGGGGACACGGGTTCGTGCCCCGGTCCGGGAAGATCCCACATGCCGTGGAGCGGCTCGGCCCATAAGCCATGGCCACTGAGCCTGTGCCTCCGGAGCCTGTGCTCCGCAACGGGAGAGGCCACAACAGTGAGAGGCCCGTGTACCGCCAAAAAAAAAAAAAAGGTTATTTGGGCATTATCTAGAATTTCACACTCAAGAGAAAAACACTTAATATGTAGTCTACTGCCTTCCAGGTTTTTTCTCTGCATTTTTAAAGATTAGGAGATGGGGGGAGGTAATGTCTTCATACTTTTGTGTCTGTTGTTCTGTTTATCATTATAGTATGGTTATGCTACTTCCCATAATGATGAGGATGAGGATGCTGATACTGATGTCGGTAGAAGCAAAGACATGTATAGAGCTTGATATGGACCAGGAACTGTTCTCTGTGACGTGTGCATATTGACACGACACCCCGTGGTCTTTCATGCACTTAGGAGACATCATGCTCAATCCATACACAGATCCATGGTAATCTGATTCATGCCGATGGACATGTTCACTTGCCTTTTGATCCAGAGGACACTGGACACTGCAGTGTATTCCAGATTTGGGGGTCAGATACCACACCTCTCTGTTTCTTTCAGGCCTGCGTAGCAATCTGACTCACTTCTTGCCGGCCAGGTGACTTTGGGCAAGTTCCTTCACCCGTTAACCTCTACGTGTCTCAAGCTTCCTCATCTGCAAAAAGGGATGATAACATTAAAAATGCTTACCTCATAATGTTGCTGTGAGTACTCAGAGACCTCATTACACTTATACATATAGAGAGTTAAACACAGTCCAGAAGGGTGAGCTTTTATTCTTGTGTCTCTTCACTTCGGTTTCTGCTTGTACCCATATCTCTCTCCCTGCCCCCGTTGCTTTCTCCTCAACCACTCCCGCTCCACTCTCTCTCCCCTTTGCCCCCCTCCTCAGACTCTCCATCCAAAAACACTGTTTACCATCTCCTCAGGATGTAACTCAGAAAATATTCACACCATCACCCTTTGGTTAAAAAAACGTGAATATTAGTGGAAGAAATAAGAAACACCATAAAACCGGCAATGTGAAAACTACACAAGAAATAAAGTCCTACTGATGAAAGTTTGAGTATTAATACTTTTGTATCTTCATAAGATTCAGATATTCAGAATTTGATACAGGAGAATTAGGCTTCATAAAAATAATGCCCCCCCCCCAAAAAAGGGCTATATGATGAGGTCCTTGGGCCTTTAAATTTCCCTCTGGAATGTTTTTTAAAATGTATATACTCATGTTCTACTACAATCGTCCAGTGATCACTTACTTTCCCATCATTATACAAATCATACGAAGAGGTCATTAGACTTCTAATTTCCTAGAGAATAGGCACTAAACTTTTCCATACGAGCCCCTGATGAAACCCCAGCATTGTATTTAGGCTTCACAATATCCCCATAAGGAGAGTTAAATACTCATTATGCTAATACACACACACAAACACACACACACACACACACACACACACATACCCACACCCATGCCCCATACATTCAGTTCTTGAGTCCCTGAGAGGCTGAAGTGATAGTGCAAAGTCCATGTGGTGAGTCAAAGGTGGTCTTGACATTGTTTCTCTGGAACACTCTCCAGGGAAATGTGGGAACAGTAACACTATTAACAGCAGTAATGACAACAGCTAGAATTCACCAGGAACTTGTCACATGCTGAGCACTGTCCTGACAACTTCCCATGTCTTAACATGGTCAGTGCTCTAAACTGCCCCCAAGAAGTAGTTACATTTACTCCTAACTAGTGTTTCCATGTTACTAATGGAGGAATTGAGGCACAGAGATGCTAAGTAGCCCGCTCAGTGTCACCCAGCAGTAAGGGGTGGAGCCACAGGTCTGTGGAGGCATTGTGGAAAACTCAAGTGTGTTCTGTATTTATTCAGTCAAGGGCAAGATCCAATGGCTACTGCAAAATATGTAGAAAAACAGCTAACACATAACACAAATTGACCTTACAGCATGGAACTGCACACTAAATAGAAATCTGGTTTCTTCAGAAATCTTTTAGATGGAGGCTTGACAGGATTGGAATCAGGATGTTTTGTGGAAACAATGATCTGAGAGCCTCCTTAGAACAGCAGACAGCATGTCAGTCTCCTAGCCTGAAGGTCTTGGGTTTGTGCATCAGAGAAGGCAGCAAACCTCTGTCACCTCCACATGCTCCCGATGGAGAGAGAAACCTGCCAGTAGGGAAAATAAGACCGTTCGTTCCTCTGCTCTGGTAGTACCCAGACAAATTGTCCATGTCAATCAGAACTGAGGAATTATAAAAAAAAAAAAAACACAAAAATGCAGATTCCATGATCCGCACTCAGTGAATCTCATTTAGTGTGGCTACAACGGTGCCCTAGAATCTTTGATTTTTCACTCTGCCTGGGAAACTCTCAGGAACTTTAATAAACTCCTTTGGTAGCGAGACTGTCTCCAATGTACTGACTCTTCCCAGGACAAACACACAGTTGGGAAGACCAACCTGAGAGCACAGGAGAGAGAACGTAAAGGACACAGCGTGAGAGTCAAACCAAGGGCAGGGCAGCGGATCTTCTGAGAAGACACCACCACCCGACTGGCCTGTCTCTCTGAGGCTTCAGTTTATCTCAGATCCATTCTCTTCATGGCCAGTGGATGGAGGTGGTGAGAGGAGATGACCTTTGAGATGCCACATGGCCTGGGCTTTTCTCGGGGGCCGTGGGACACAGACGATATGAGGTTATATGATCTATTCTCCCCACCTCCAGTCAGCCTCTGCTTCTCTCTTGCACCCTCACTCCCTCCATGCCACACAAGCCCAGAGCAACCAGAATTTAGGAAAAATGTCTTCCCTTCACCGATCAGACACCTGCCCCTGACCTGAGGAGATCTTCTCCCCTCTTCTCCTCTCAGCTGTCCTCCTCTGATCTGATCTGCCGTGCCGAAGCAGACAGCCTTCCCTAGTAGCTTAAAGCCCTCGCCTGGCCCGTGACTCTGGTAACGCAGCCTGGAGAGGGCTCGTTCTCTCTGAGAAGGACCCCAGACCCGGGAGCCAAGAGCCACGACGACCACAGAACCATCCTAAACACTGATGCCCACGGCCGTGATTGACCTTGGAAACGAAGCCTTACCTCACACCCCGTCTGTCCCTGAACCATTATCTTGTCACAGAAAGCAAGACAGACGAGGAAGGTGCCTGGAATCCTTCCTGGGGAGTCCTGTGTCCTACTCCATGCTGCCATGCTATTTCCCCAGACCAAACCCTGACGTGGACCGTATCATTCCTATCCTTTTGATGAGAATAAGAGGTCTGGGGATACCTTCACAAAATCCTATTCTCGTGGTTGATAACCAGTATGTTATGTGGTTTACTACCACAATGGTGCACCTGGTAAGTAGGTGGAAGCTGACAGGAAGTTTCAGAGGGTAGGTCTGGGTGCTGAAATGATTGGGAGGAGCTACCGGCATCTGTGGGCTGAGGGTTACAGGGAGGCAAACACTTTTAAGCAGAGAGTTAAATAAAGTGGATTTTCCATGATTGTAATTTACCCGTGAATTAAGGGAAGCCTGAATGTTGCTTTCTCTGGAAACTTACAAAGAATCCTTGAGTGTTTTAGAGAACACATACTGAAGGCAATTCTCTTACTGGCCTTGAGCTTGATGCAACACACCAGTGTCGCTTGGTAGCTGAGGTTGTACATGCCTACAGGAATGAGGGGAATCCAGCTGTACTGACTAGATGGATCTTCAGGATATGCTGTTAATGGATGGGAAAAATTACGTGGGAAATGCTCATAGTGTGATCTGCCACGGGTTGCTGAACAAAGCCAGATAAGCCCATTGACTTTGAGGCACCGAGGTTTTGCTTCCACGTCTGTCTCCCTCACCAGACTTTTAACTCCTTCTCAGAAGGCTGGAAACACATCCCGTTCATCCTGGTGTCCTCAGGGCAGAGGACCTGAGACACGGTAGAAAGTCAGTCCACACTTGTGGAGCTGACGTAACGGGTGAAGGACTGGACCCAGTGTCTTAATGACGAGCGAGAAGGATGTCAGTCTGCAGAGGGAGGGAGGGGAATGCCACAGGTCTTAGGACCCAGGCAGCGCAGTGACACCAGCCTACACTGCAGTACTGATGTCAGTTACATCCCTTAGGGTTCCAGGACTGAGCCATTTAAATACAGGTGTCATTAACCATGAAGGTCTAACTTAGAAAGCCAGGAACCTTACGGCTTAGTTTTTTGTATGAACCTTTTGTAGCTGAGGCACCTGAGGCACCAATTCAGGCACAGCATACTCTGGTCACTACTCGTCCAGGCTGAGGCTGCGTCGGGATATTCAGGGCTCACACACAAGAAGGGTAATTCCGAGGCATACATGTATCCCTAGAAACAAAGGGTTCACAACTGCTAGGTTGCCCCGAGCAGGACATACATCAGGCAGGCAGGACAGCTCCCTGGGGCCCCAGTGTGGCCTCCCACCCAGGGACCTGCCCCCCTAGGACTCCCTGTCCAGTTTGAATAATCCATCTGAGGCCTTAGTTTCAGAGGCACTGCCTGGAGGCAGCCCGTTCCAAGCAGTTCTGTCTGTCCGGGACCCCAGCGCATCCTCTTTCCGAGGGTGGCTGACACCTGGAGGTGCTCTGCATGCACCATCCAGGGGCTGGGGCCACTCCTGCGGTCCCACAGTCAGAGCTCCCTCAGGTGTGACTGGAGCCTCAGCAGACAGTTTGCATTCAAAGTGCTCACTGGATTGGGATTGACATATATACACTAATATGTATAAAATAGATAACTAATAAGAACCTGCTGTATAAAAAAATAAATAAAGTAAAATTCAAAAAGAAAAAAAAAAGTGCTCACAGCAGCTTGGAAGGCTGCATGGGGAGTATTCCTTTAGGAAACATAGAAAATTCCCAGGAACAGACAAGATCATTAATGCCCTCACTCCCTCTCTACACTTCCCCCACCAGGTGCCAGGGGTGGTGTGTTCTCCATTGTTATACAATCACTGTGTACAATCCTGAAACCAAAACTTTACATTTCGGGGCTTCCCTGGTGGCGCAGTGGTTGGGAGTCCGCCTGCCGATGCAGGGGACGCGGGTTCGTGCCCCGCTCCGGGAGGATCCCACATGCCGCGGAGCGGCTGGGCCCATGGGCCATGGCCGCTGAGCCTGCGCGTCCGGAGCCTGTGCTCCGCAACGGGAGAGGCCACAACAGTGAGAGGCCTGCGTACCGCAAAAAAAACACAAAAACAAACAACAAAACTTACATTTCTTTAATTATCCCCTAATGTCCCCCTAATCTTTTGTATGGAAGGGCTGTAGGCAAGAGTACTTTCATAGCAAAACGTGTTTTATAATCTAACTGTAAAGACATTACGTTTAGCAACTGGCCAGGACAAAATCGTGAATTTTTAAAAATTTTCAAAATGGGTTGACACAGCCTCCTGTCCTTTTGTCTGTCTCACTGATCCCGTGAGGAGGCTGGAAAAGCTCATTCTCTTGCACTGAAGAGTCATATGCCTAACGTCTCGTCTCAGTTGTCTCAAAGATCCAGATGCAACAGCCACAACGTACAAAGCCATTTTTAAAATTCCCCCTTTTCCCTCTCCCAGGGACGCTTTACTCAAACGCCTAGCAGTAAACTGACACTCACCAGGGTACCGCACAGCGGCCGGGGAGCTCGGGCGCGAGTGCTGGGAGGGGCTGCTGCTGCTGCTGCAGCAGCAGCAGCAGCAGCCGCAGCCGCAGCCGCCGCCGCCGCCGCCAAGTTGAAGAAAAGCCTGCAGACCTTTTTCCCCTTCTTGCCTCTAGTTTATCTGAAGCTTTCTCCAGCCCAGAACCTGATTTTACTTGCTTGCTTCCGCTTGTAGGAGAGAGCAAGTCAAACTTTTAACATTTTTTGGCCGACCCAGAGTTCACCTTTTGTAAGGTTTGCATCCTTTCCCCCCAGGCCTGGAGGAAATAACAAACACCAAAGTCAGGAGCTGGCTGCACTCCCCACCCCCACCCCCCGCCACCCCACTCACATCAGGCAGCACAGCAGAAGCAGCCGAGGATGCAGTGCGCTAACTCTCCTGGATCTGGATCTTTTGTTTTCAAATTCTGTAAGTAACACCTATCACAACAGTCAGTGGCTCAGCTGCTGTTTCATAGCACGGGTACATCCACAGTCAATGAGCACAAAAAGATCGTCATCCCTACTGCTTCATCCTCCCTTTACTCAAACAAGGCTTTCACCGTATTTCAGCGAGTCACAGTCTCGCTAGTGAATCCACAGCTGCCACCACTGTTTCAGATGCCCCAAGACCACCCTTGCTTTTGATGAATTCCTAGGAGGACCCCAAGGACCTAGCACATAGTCATCCTCATGGCTAAGATTTACTGCAGCAAAAGGATACAAAGCCAAATCATCCAGGGGGAGAGGTGCACTGGGCAACATCCGGAGGAAACCAGCGCAAGCTTCCAAGAGTCCTTTCCTAGTAGATAATCACGCAATTTGTCCCTCCGGCAACGGATCATGACAACGCGTGTGAAATGCTGTCCACCAGGGAAGCTCCTGAGAAACCCGGGGCCTAGCACATAACAAGATTTCAGGTTCCCAGGAGGAAAGCAGGTGTTTAGCATAAAACATACTGTTTGGACAGATGGAGGAGTAAACTACACTTCTGAAGGAGGCAACGGTGGGAAACCTCTTGAAATCCAAGTTCTCAGACGCGACGTGAGGGCCAACAAGCCAGCCCTTCTAAGGATTATAGTCTCAGGCCTGCTATGTTAACTCTGTTCTGCACAGTACTCAACAGCAAAGCTTCAAAATACATGACCAAGTCAGAACTGGAAGAACTGAAACAAACAAATCTACAAGAACAGCTGGAGACTTCAACAACCTCAGTAATACACAGAACGGAGAGAAAGCAAATTAGAATGCATGGGTGAACCGAATGTTCTCACAGGTATAGAACCCTCCACATAACAATAGCCGAATATACCACATTCTTTTCAAGTGCATATGGAAGTTTCACCAAGGTAGACTATATCCTGGGTCATAAAACAAATATGACCAATTGCAAGATAACTGCAATCATACAAAGAATGTCGTCTGACCAAAAGAGAAAAACCACCGATAAGTAAGCCAAAGTTAGGAGGAAAATCTCCAAACACAAGGAAATTAAATCACATACTTCTAAATAATCCATGGACCAAAGAGCAAGGATCAAGGAAAGTTACAAATTAATTTAAGCAACATGAAAATGAAAAAACAACCTACCAAAATCTGCAGGATGCAGGTACAGCAGTGCTTAGCCGTAAATGTACAGCATCAAATGCTTGTATTAGAAAGAATAAAGAACCCAAATCAATAATGAAAGCTTCCACCTTAAGAAACTAGAAAAAGAAAATCCAAATAAATTCAAAGCAAGCAAATAAGGGAAATAGAGATTGGAACAGTTATCAGAAAAAGAATAGAGTTAATCAACGAAACCCAAAGCTGGTTCTTTCAATAGGTCAATACAAATTCATAAACTTCTACCCAGACAGACAAAAAAAAAAAGGCAAGATAACTAAAGACACAACTTACCAACATCAGGAATGAAATAGGTTACAGATCCCACAGAAATTAAAAGGATTCTATGAATAATTCTACATAATTACTTTTGGCAATTTAGGCGAAATGGAACAAACTATCAAAGCTCAGCCAAAAAGAAACAGATCATCTATTTTTAAAATTGAGTCTGTAGTTGAAAAACTTACAGAAAAGGAATCTCCAGGGCCAGATGGTACCCCTGGAAAATCCTGCCAAACATTTAAGAAGCAATGACAGCAATTCTACGCAATCTCTTCAAGGAAACAGAAGAGAGGGAACACTTGTTGAATTCTTTTTTCAGATTAGCATTACCCTGATACCAAAGTCAAACAAAGACAGTAGTAGCAAATCAAATTCAATATATAAAAAGAATAATACGCCATGACCAAGTGAGGTTTATCCCCGAAATGCAAAGCTGGTGCAGCATTAAAACATCAATCAAGCCAGCATAGTAGCATACCAAAGATAAAGAACCACATGATCGTTATCTGTTGATGCAGAAAAAGTATCTGACAAAATTCAACAGTCGTTCATAATGAAAACATTCAGCTAACCAGGAGTAGAAGGGAGCTTTCTTAACCTGACACAGAGCGTCTACAAAAATACCCGCCCCTCCATCCTACTTGATGGAGAGAGACTAAATGCTTTCTCCCTAAGATCAGGAACCAGGCCAGGAGGATAGCTATAAGTCAACATTGTACTGGAAGTCCTAGCCACTCCAGTAAGAAAAGAAAAAGAAACAAATGGTTTAGAGATTGGGAAGGAGGAAATCAAACTGCTCCCATCCACCAATGACATGATTATCTACCTAGAAAATCCCATGAAATCTATTAACAAAAACTCCTATAACTAAGAAGTGAGTTTAACAAGGTCGCAGGATACAAGCTCAACACCAAAAAATCAGGCATATTTGCCTGTACTAGCAATGAACAATTAGGAAATTAAAAAAAAAAAGACTTGTGCATACCATTTATAATAGCTTCCCCCCAAAATCTAGCGAAACATAAGCAGGATCTGTATGCTCAAAACTACAAAATGCTGAGGAAAAGAAATATAAGAAGACCTAACAAAATGGAGACACATACTGCGTTCATCTGTTGAGAAATTCAATATAATTAGGATGTCAATAGTCCCCAAATAGATCCATCAATTTCATACAATTCCAATCACAAATCCAGGCAAGGATTTTTTTGTACATATAGACTAACTGATGATAAAATTTCTGGGGTAAGTAAGGCAAAGGAACTAGAATAGCCAAATAATTTTGAAAAACAAAGTTGGAGGACTAACACCAACGTCACAATTTACAATGCAGCTTCAACCAAGATATGTAAGCAACTACGTGGCCATGGAGGGGATGAATGGATATAGAAAATGTGGTGACATATACAACGGAATATTATTCAGCCACAAAAACGAAGAAAATCCTGCCTTTTGCAACAACACGAATGGACCTGGAAGGCTTTATGCTAAGTGAAGTAAGTGAAAGAAAGACATACTGTATGTTCTACTTATATGTAGACTCTAAAAAAGTCAAACTCACAGAAATAGAGTTTAGAATGGCGGTTGCCAGGGGCTGGGGGAAATATTGGTCAAACGGTACAAACTTCCAGCTACAAGATGAATAAGTTATGGGGATCTAATGTACAGCATGCTGAGTATAAGGAACAAAACTGTATCGTATATTGAAAGCTAAGAGGGTAGATCTGAAATGTTATCACCACAATTTTTAAAAAGGTAATTCTGTGAGGGGATAGAGTGCTAACTAACCTTATTGTGGTAATCGTTTTGCCCTATCTACGTGTATCAAATCATCACACTGTGCACCTTAAACTTACATGCTATATGTCAATAATACCTCAGAGAAGCTGGAAAAGATAAAAGAGTCCCCAGCTTTTCCGGTGGGAGAGCCCTCCAGCTATATTCTGTGTCCCCCTGACATCTCCCCATCATTCCTTAACTTTCCCTTATTACTGACATGACAAGTTGAGCCAGGCTCATTAATCCTTTCTCTCCTCAGCCTGGGAACCCAGCATTTAGCGGAGAATGGTATTCAGAAGCTAGGATCTAGCGGTAGGTGTATTTATTGTCATTGGGATGTTGCTGTTTTCAGGAAGTTTGGAATATATGTGTGAACACAATCACACACACACACACACACATATATATATTTCTATATCAATCTATCCACATATGCACACATATCTATTGAAAACCAGGAGTTCTCACGGAGACCTTTAATTCCAGTAGAACTCCTCAGAAGTTGTTCCAGTTTACCTCCTTTCCATATTGGAAATTCCCTCTTCCAAAAGTGACAGACGTGGCTCCCACCATCCTTATATATTCACTGAGTTGACAAATCCCAATGCATATAAGCCATCCCTCCTCCACAAAGAGGTCCTCCCCACGTGCTATGCTGAACCATCCCCTGCCCTTGACTTCCACACCTCACTCAAGCCTGAATCCCTGAGCCAGTTAACCACCTCCCCACAGAACCCCCAGGGATATCCTCCTTACCACCTTGGGCTCTGACCTCCCAAATTGGGATGCCCCTACACGCATATACTTGCCTTGCCCGTCAACACCTAATGGCTTTAGGACTGAACTGCTCAGGCACAAAAGAGAAGAGAAGGGAAGGGAAAGAAAGGGTAGGGACAGGGGAAAAGTGAATATATCAGTTAATCAAGGTGAACTGGGCCAAATCCAAGCAATATGATGAAGCCAGTGGGTTTTTTCCTCACTGTCCTCCAGCTTCCCCTTCCTGCCTCTCTCCTTTGCCCCAGTTCCTTTCTCATTCTTAAGTCCTGCCCTCCATCAAGAGTAGCAATGTTATGAGGGGCATGATTCCCATTTTATAACTGATCTCCGCTGGCTGGCTGACATTCAGTGTGGACGGTGTCCTCCCTGCAGCTCTTACACTCAGGCCCTCTGTCTCTCATGATGGGCTAGAAAGTTTCACCCCTCTTCAGTAATTTCAGGTGTAAGCAGGAGAGAAGGTGCAGGGCACATCTTGGAGCCTCGGGTCCTTCATCTGTGAAATGGGGATGACCACAGATTGTGGGACAAACACAGAGAGCAGCACCAGACACCTTTCAATGAGTGCTACGTGCTGGACCCAGTGCATCACAGGACTCCTTGATATCCAGGAGCACGCCAAGTAGACTGCCCCGCCAGGACTGTGGCACCTGCTGTTCCTTCTGCCTGGAATGCTCTTCCTTCAGGTAATCCCACGGCGTGCTCCCTCACTTCCTCCAGGTCTCTGCTCATTCGTCATCCTTCAGGGAGACTTTCCCTGATTACCTTGAATAAAATAATAACATCATCTCCACATACCCTTTCCCCTGGTCCAGCCCTATCTTTCTTCATACATAGCACCTGCCACCCTTGATTTACTTATTGACCAACTCTATGAAATGAGACTTTGTCAGTTTTGTCCTGTCACAAACTCCTCGAATAGTACTCACGTACATGGCAGGCGCTCAGAAAACATTTGCTGAACCATAGCTGGGAGCCGGGCCCTTTACACACACTGTTAACATGCACAGGTACCCTCCAAGGTGGGCACTGGCCCCATTTGACTGATTATGATACGTACTGAGACTCCAGGAGACAAGTGACACCCTCAACAACGCACCATCAGCACGTCGGGTTCCAGGCTTCGGAATCATACCTGCCGGGTTTCCAACTCCCTCAGTTCCTGGACAGAGACCTCACAGCCAAAATGGTAAGAGATTTTACTACTGACACACAGACCCCAAACAGCTCAGATACTTTACACCTTTAGACAAACCCCTTCCTAAAGCAGCTCAGAGACATCACACCTTGGGACCCAGAATCACAACAGTTCAAAGGCCTCACACGCTGGGGTACAGACGTCTACATAAGGGTCTAACACCCAGTGACTCTAATGCCCAAAAGCTCAGAAAATGCACACCCAGGTCTACAAGGACACAAATCCCTACAGACTTTGTACCATGGCTCACAAAACCCACCCAGATGAAATATCCCATTCACCAAAAACTCCCCAAAATGCTCACAGACGCCAAATGTACTCAAACAGCATCTGGGATGTCAGACGTAGCGGTACACATCTCCAAACTGCACGACACACGTTACTTCCCAGGGGGAGACACCAAAAAAGTTTGGTGACCCCTCCTTGGCCTTAATTATATGAATCTGCGCGACTGACCCTGCGGTGCCACACGCTCCAGACTGAGCGAAGGCTAAACAAGACTGTAAGAGCTCGCGGAAAGACACCACCACCGTCACCCTGCACAGCCAGCGACTGCGCCGAACCTCGCCACCGACCCGGGCAGCTAATCAGCCCCTTACGGATAGTCAGTCTTGGAGTAGTCAAACTCGGAGAAAAATGTACACTCTGAAAATGCCCGCGTGCGCACACGCACACGCACACCTTTCACCCTGAGCGTCAACTCGGCGACCACTGTGCCTGTCCCAGAGAGACAGCCAATGGGAACTGGGCAGGCGAGGAGGGAGGGGCAGGAATAGCGGGATTTCCGGCGCCGCTTGACACCCCGGAAGAGTTTATTCCAGCTATCTCGCGGCGACCAATCGCCGCCCAGAACGCTTTCTCGATTTCGACCCCCCCGCCCCCCACACACATACACGCATCCCGGAGCCAATCCCTTGCTCCGTTGCTCTCCCCACCTGGATGTGACCATGCAGAAACGAAGGGGTGACCCTGGAGTAGATAGAAAAGAAGGCTGCAGGCTGAGAACCCGGTGTCCCCTCGGCCTCGAATGTGCCGGGAAGATGGAGCGGTTACAATGGGGATGGACCCAGCGGCGCCCTGAGTGCCTCCGCTGGGACCCGTGGTCGATGCCCGACGCGGTGTAAGGGGACCCTCAGTGTTGTCACAGAGCTCAATGGATTATTCCAGAACGGACGCCCCCTCCCGAATGGTTCCTTCCCGACTCGAAGGACTTCCCTCTACCCCTCAGTGGTACGTTCCACGACAGAACCGTTTCATTTCGCGCGCCCCTTGGTGGTGGGATCGGGGAACAGCGGATGTAGATGCCCGCGGACCATTGCTGGCCGGTGCCCAAAGGGAGGGAGGACAAAGTTAGGATGAAACCCTCGCAATTCTCTGGAGTCTTGGATTTGGGAAAAAGTCTCCCTACTTGGAAAGTTACCTCCATGCAGTGACACCACTGTAACAGGGAGCATTACAAGAAGTTTTCTCTGTGCTGGGCCTTGTGATTGCTTGTGCCTCCCTGGGTAATACAGGATAGGCCTAGTGGGGCAAGCCAGCCACAGTCTCCCAACGGGCAGGAGGGATAAAGCTCCAGACTGGGATCAGAAGGCCTGGTGAGGGGCAGGCCTCTGTCCTTGACTGTAATCGGTGGAAAGGACTACCGTGCCTTCGGTTCCGTTAGGAAAGGGGACATCTCTCAGGGGTCCCAAGGACACTGACTACATGAGATAAAGACCATGGGCTCTGTCACCGTTCTGTTACCCCGTACACGTACCCTAGCGGAATCCTCGCCCTTTCTAGCTATGCCCGTCGGGACAGCCAGTTCTGGAGTGGGCCAACTCAGAGAAATGTACGTTCTGAAAACGCCAGCGCGCACACGAACACGCTCTCGCCCTGAACTCCAACTCGGCTACCGCCTTGCGCGGGGAGGGGGAGGGAATAGCGGGACTTCCGGCTCCGCTTTGCGCACCGGAAGAGCTTATTCCGGCCATCTCGCGGCGACCAATCAGCGCCCAGAACGCTTTCTGGCCCCGCAATCCCGGAGCCAATCTCTCGCCCCGTTGCCATCCCCGCCTGAATGTGACCAGGTAGAAATGAAGGGGTGAACCGGACACCCCCAGGAGGTGATACCCCGGGGCGGTGGGGGAGGGGGTGCTGTTTCTCACTTCAGTCCTGTGGTTATTCTGGTGGGTCTAATGTGAATGTGAAACTGTAGCATGCATCGCAGTCACCTGGAGGGCTTGTTAAAACACTGATTGCTACCCCCCATCCCCGAGTTTCTGATTCAGTGGGTCCTTGGTGGGGCCCGAGAATTTGCATTTCTAACCAGGCTCAGCGTCCCTCCTACACAACTAAGTGGTGGACTCTAGGATTCCTACCTCCCTCCACCACGTTATTTGTGAACTGTTCCTTCCCTTCCCTCCCTCCTTCCTTACCCCCCAACACATCCAAACGAACAGTCTTCATCGCCAGACCCTGAAGATCTTGAAGGGAGCAAAGGTCTAAGCATCCTGTTCACTGCAGCAGAGCGTCTGCCCCAAGAGTGATGTGAGGAGCCAGTAAACGAGCTTTACTTCTCCTGCACCACTGATGGACAGCATCGTGGCAGCATGTATCAAAGTGAAAAATCCTTACAATGCTAGGTCGGTGAGGGCAGAGACTCTTTTTTTTGTCTAGTACGGCCAGTCTCCCCAGTGCCCAGCACATAGTAGGTGCTCAGTGGATGATTGGTGAATGACTGAGTTTTGACCCAGCAGCTCCACTTTAAAAATGTATAATCAACACACACATTCACAGAGTTGTGTGTAGAAGGAAGATAGTAGCAAACAATTGTGTAAAACCTCTTCATGTCCATTAAGAGTCGATGATGGTTGGGTTGTAACCAAACGGTGAGTGGTTCATGTTACACCATGGAGCACACACTGGCCATGGAACAGCATGAGGGGACCAGTGTGTACTGATCAGAGGGATCTTCTTCAGGACATGCTGTTAATATTAGGTGGGAGGGGAAGCAAATGGGAGATGCTCATAGTGGGGCCTGCTGTGTGTGTGTGTGTGTGTGTGTGTGTGTGTGTGTGTGTGTGTGTGTGTGGTTTAAATACAGAGAAATATTTTTTGAAAGGAGCAAGGAAGCACCTATAACTAGCCCCACTGGTAGGCCCAGGAAGCAGAGAATGTGGAGGAATGTGATGACCTGTGTAGTCCATGTACTGATGTACTAATGGAATCTTTCACAGCAGCCACTTATTCACGTATAATTTGAATAACTCTGTCTAAAGCAAAGTCATGTGGTGAAAACAATACCTGTACCACAGAGCATTTTTGTGTGAGGGCATCTGGAGGGTCTCCAGCAACAGGGTTCTCAAATTTACATGCCCCAGGGCCAGGCAGTTATTGTGCATTAGGGAGCGCAGCTCATGTGAGGGTAGGGAAGGGCAGCACATGGGTATGGTAAATGTTCCCTGCCAATCGGCTTCCGGTGTGGGTACGATAGAGAAGATGGGGCTGGTGCAGACCCCAGACCCTCACAACAACCTCCTCAGCATCATAAATAGTGGTAATTGTCAGGATATCAACAGTTGTTACATCTTTACACTGATGTAAACTCCTTGGGAGCATCCTTCAACCTCTTCATCACAGGACACACACATGTCAGACGAGTAAGAGAACCGATCCTCTGAACACAGCATTCAAGGACTAATTAAGACTGACTTAGGAATTGGTTCTGCCCACGATGAATGAGCAGGTTTGGATTTATCCTCCCACTTTAAGTAACTAAAACTTTGGAAGTGACGGTCTTCAGATGCACTACAACAGGCATGCAGGATGCTGATACCTGAGAAAAGGGGGAAAATGAGGTGAGCACTACACTTTCCCCCAGCCTACTTCTGGAGAGGATTTCCAGGCATCAGTGCAGGGAGCGGGAACCCAGGCAGAGGCCAGCGTGTGGGTACGATAGAGAAGATGGGGCTGGCGCAGACCCCAGACGCTTACCCTGTCTGAGGGGGCATCCACAATGCTGCTATCGCCTACTATCTTTGTGCAGGAATGAGACCCCTGCATGGGCAGGGGTTGTGATTTTCCCAGAGAAGCCGGAAGTCTGGGTTCTTGTCATATTCTTCTTCTTTTTTTTAATGATAGAAATTAAATTCACAAAAATTGTGGTTCAGTCTATCTCTGTGTAAGTCATGTAGAACAATATGTCTGGGAGCAGGATTGAGTCTGAGCGCTCCTTTTTGGAGCCCTTTTAGAAGACAGCAGGAGCTCAGGAAATGGTTTGTGAAGTAATGAATGAGTGAATGAATGAACGAACAAATTCAGGAGTTAACATTAACATCCAGAAGGGTCCTTGTTCTCAGCCAGTGATGTTCCCTCTGATTCCCATACCGTCCTCTTTCTCCTCCGTTCCTAGGGTCCTCAGTGGACACTCCAATCCCCCGCGTCGGTAGGCATCATCACTGCCCTTCAACCCCTTCGTCCACTCGGTGTATCTTCCCAGTACTCACTGCCCACAGCAGCCCACTCTGATTCCTTCTTCTACTTTTCAGCCCCAGCAGAGCCCCATCTGGAATAGATCTCTCCACGGCCCAGCCCGAACACTGGCACTGGTTCTGGCATTTTCCTGAGTGTCGATCTCAGCTTGTCCTCTTCATATCAGCTGTGTGACTGGTTCATTCCCTTTCTCTCTCTGTTCCTCCATCTTCTCCACTGTGTAATAGTATCAATCCTCACAAGCTTTCACGAGGTGTAAGTGAGATGATCCCAATAAGAGTTTTCGCAGGGCCTGGCACAGAATAAATGTGAGATAAATATTAGCCAGTATTATTAATGTTTTTGTCATTATTATTGTTTCCAGAGATGCTCTATTTTAACCATCAGTTAACTCCTTCTAACATCCTTGGGAGGTGGTTATTATTATTAATCACTATTTTACAGATGAATAAACTGATGTACTGTACATCAGCTCACTAACTTACTCAGGCTCACCAGAGGGGGAAACACCATACTCATACCCAGGTCTGTCTGGTCACAGAGCTCCTGCCCATTACCCCTGTCTGTGCCTTATTCCACATCAATGTCAGTGACAGCAGTAGCCACTGACATCAGAAACACAGTCAAAGCCAATCAAGACCGCATCTGCATAATCCCGGAAAGAAATGTGGTCCCCACCGCATGAATTGGAAAGACCAGATATTCGGAGTACTCTCAGTCTCAGTGACCACTCCTCTCTGTGCATGTCCTGTGGGCTGGAGAATCCATCCTGTGGGTCTTGTCCTCCAGAGACCTCTTAGTCACCTGCAGGATCATGTCCAAGGCTGAACCCACCTCTGCCTGCTGCTGGGCAAGGCATTCTGAGGCCCCACGTTCTAGGAATCCTCTGCCCCTTGCCCCAGCTGACCCTTCACAACCTCCTTCCTGGCACTCCCTCCTTTGCATGGCTGCAACAGGCCACATTCACCCCTGATTCTGCTAATAGAACAATGGGCAAGGAGACTGAGGTATCAAAGAGTTAGACAGCTTGCCCAGGGTCTCTCCACTAGTTCATGGCAAAGCCTGGATTCACACACTGTGCTCTCTGACTCTGTCCTGACGTAAAACAACATTCTCTTCCGCCTCTAGTATAGCAGGTGCTCTTTAACTCATGCTCGGCTGCCACATGCTTTACACATGATGCCTTCTCATCATCATCAACAGTGGTAATTGTCAGGATAGCAACAGCAGTTACATCTTTACACTGACAGAACCTCAGGAGTTTCCCTCAACCTCTTCATCACAGCACGCACACACGTCATATGAGAAAGATAACTGATCCTCTGAACAGAGCATTCAAGGACTAATTAAGACTGAACTAAGAATTGGTTTTGGCCATGATGGAGTAACAGGGTCTGGATTTATCCTCCCACTTTAAATAACTAGAAAATTGGAAGTGACAGTTTTCGGATGTGGTACAACAGGCATGCAGGATGTTGATACCTGAGAGATGGGGAAAAATGTGGTGTGCACTACGATTTCTCCAAGTTTACTTCCTGGAGAGGCTTTCCCGGCTTCAGTTCAGGGAAAGGGAACCCAGACAGAGGCCAGCATTCTCCCAGAGCTGAGGAAACAGAGTTCAGCATTCCGGGAGGCCAAGGCAGCTAGAATTCCTAGAGCACAGGACCAGAGAAAAGGGAGCTGGATGGATGGGGGAGGACTGCAGAGAGAGAGAAAGAGAGAGAGAG